CCATAGTTTAGAATTTAAGGTATATGTAGGGTGCACTGGAGTATACTCGGAAAAAATAGTATCACGAACTGGAGCTTGTAAAACCACGACGAATAAGTATAGATCCAATGGTGTGCAACGAAATGTCGCTGAGCCAGTTAAAAAGCAACGAGTGCACAAGTGAGTGATTAGCACGCGTTTGCTTAAGGTCAGGACGTTACTTTAAATAGTGCATGTGGGATGGAATCCGGGTCAGCGACACGAAAACGATTGAGGGCTGTGATCGCCTTTCGGACATCGGCCGCCGACGGTGGTTTAAAACTAACCGTCCAAGATTCGTCTTGCAGCACCTGTGTAGGAAGAGGTCCAGGAGCACGGGGTCAGTTAAACTGATCTTGAAAGTGTGCCGCCCAAGGAGCCATCCGGCGCTCCTTATTGTTTATCAGTGCACCCGCGCGGTCTCTGATTGTCTCACTGAAGTCTGGTTTACTGGGAGCTGTGGTGTGGATTATCTGGGAGATTTTGCGGTAATTGCTTACTATTTCTGTCTCCTCTATTTCTTGGGCCCGACTGATCCACCAGCCTTCCTTGTCAACACATAAGCTCCGCTTTATTTCCCACCTACTAATCCGTCTGATCATATCGTGCTTAGGGCCAGCAGAGTGGTTACTTTTGGATTCCAACAGGTTAATCAACTTCCCGGATATCAAGTGACTGTAGCGGTTAAGACAGATAGTGCCACAAGCAGGTGCACCTGCCTCATGCATGGCAGCCCAGATGCAATTCTACTGAAGCACAGCGTCATCAAAACAAGATAACGAATGTTCGGTACGCAGTTCGTCTTGATAGGCTTGCCTGACCGGGGGCTGAGACCATTTCTCAGTTGCCAATCGGAGGAGACGCTTGGTGCGCCTCCCGGTAAAGTTCATGGCGAAAAGAAAGAGTACCTAGGTATGAACATAGTCGACGTGGGTATTCCAGAACGAGCGGCAGAATAGGATGGAACCAAGCCACCTGGTACTTATGGCTATGTGGTTGATTCGGATCCATTGCTGGCCAGCCACAGGAAGAGGCTAAGTGGCACTTCGGCACGCACTATGTCTAAAAGCAGTGCTTCTAAGAAATAATTGGTGCTCCGCACACAGTTGCAGCAGACGCTCGCCGTTGTCAGTCTGTTTGGGGTTGAGCCCATATTTGCCACCCAGCTAAGCTTCTGAAGAGCTCAGACGATCTACTTTTGCGTTAATATCCCCTGCAAGTAGTATATATCTGAACCAGTAGCACTGCGTAGTAGCGCGTTCAGTTCGTGATAGAATGTGTCCTTGACAGCATTTGAACTGCAATCGGCGGGAGCATAAACGTAAATCACAAACAAACAGCGTTTTGTACTACTTCGTGAATCAACCTTGGCTGATGTCGTCAAACGGGCTGCGCATAAATGGCTGTTCACCGGAATCCAATCAAGCCATGATGGCTCAGCCTTGGAGCTTAGAATGATACCTACACCAGCTTGACCCGTGAGTGCTGCATCGGCGTCTCCGGATGCGTGCAACCAATAATCAGAGGATAAGCCGGGTGCAGTTACTTCAACAACCTCATTAGGGTCATTGATCCTAGTTTCGGACACACAACACACATCAATACCCAGTGTGTCCAAGGTGCGTGCGAGTGCAGCCTGTTGATCTATTTGTCTTAGAGTGCGAACCCTGAATGCCGCCAGGAAAACGGGACAACTTGACCTTATAAGGCACTGTTCTCGATAGGCATCCGATGGATGTTGTGGGAAGGTGGCTGCAGTTGGCTCTACTCCAGTGACACTTCGGTTGTTCTCAATTAAGCTGAAAAGTATAGAAGGAAGTTTAGAATGCGGGTCGGAATGGGAGTAAGAGAAACAGGTGTAAAAGAAAGAAGGGCGGCGCCAGCAGTAGCATGTTTTCGCCTATCCGCCCTGCTGCATGCAGCAGACAATGAGACGCTTGATAATCTGTGCGACGGCCGATGCAGAACGAAGTTTATGTTTCAAGGAAATGTCATGGTTGTATGTGCTGAGATACTGCCAAGGGGCCCAGACCTAGACATGAGAACGATTATGGTCCCCAACCAAAGCTGCTTGCTTATAAGCCTGTCCGCAAGGCAGAAATGGACGCCATCCTATTTCAACCCCCAACCTGGAGGACCAGGAGCCTGAGTTTGTCTGAGCTGTCACCGTTGAGCAATCTGGTAGGAATCGCTCTCAAGGGGCCTGGGGGCACCACCCAGTATAGCTTAATGCATCAAGGAGGTAAACAAACCGTCGCACCACGTTAAGGTCCAGTCTTGTTGCGACGGTCTAATTGCTACAGAAAATAATAGAGAACGCTTCATGATTATGCCTATCCTGCTTGCGTAGGAGCCATGCTAATTTTCTCTGTATCGTTCCATTTTTAGTATATTCACCGCCGAAGCGAGCACAAAATAAGGTGCCAGCTGTACGCCGTAAGGGCGCTTCGCTGCTGTGCGGTCACCACCTGTCACACGAATGCGAATTATACCGCGAGGACGCCCACTCCTACGCGGATTCGTACGCGCGCCGCAATATTACTAGACAAACCCCTTACCACTAAGCTACGGGCCAACGGGACAGTAAGAAGAGTTAAAAGAAATTACCAGGAACAAAAGCCACAACAGATCCAAAGCAAAGAGGAAAGTATAGTAAGATAAAGTGACGGGATACGATCATCTGTGGGACTGCCTCCTTGGGAAATGCTTACTTGCGGGGTGATCCCTCGAGAGGTTTCACCCGCACCTTCACACTCTACCTGGACCTGCGTTTGCGTGGGTTAAAGTCAGGCTAACCATCACCGATTATAGTTATCATTTCAGCTTCTTTTTTGTAAGCTAACCACTCAAGCCAGTCAGCCTATCCTTCATGCATTGTTTTTGTGTGTGCGCATGATGACCAAACGCACCAGAATTGGCGGTATATGCCATTACATGTGGATTCCACAGTTCAGCACAATTTTTATCTACCCCAGGGGGGTTTTTGGCTATCCGCCTTGTGTGTGCATCTTACATGGAAGCTTCATAGTCTTACCTCGAGCTATCAGCCCTATTCGTGATCAGAAAGCATACAACGGCAACCCATGACACGATATCCAGCTTAAGTTATTTGGACAAAGTAATTGATGGGGACCGTACATGGAATCGACGTTTGGTGAATCTGGTAATATTCAAAGTCCGATGAACCAAATGACCGACTATTTTCCAAAATACAGCAAACGCTGGCTAGCATTTAGTATATGCTTGTTTAACTAGAATATTTTGGCTTTTTACGTGAGACAAAAGACAGTACTATTCATATAAGAATATGTGAAGCCAAGTCAATCTTCAGAGTCAGCGTACCCCTAAGATGTCTCGACATACAGGGTTCGTGAGCTGATGGAGCAAAGTCTAAAGTCGTTGAGAGTAGCAAGATGCAAAACGATTGCACCCACACCTACACATTTCCGCAAACACAACCAGCTACACCATCTCTGGCTACCGGAAGTCAATAACGACACAAAGTGAAGACGACGAGGTTTGCTTTCGCAATACAGCAAGGAGTGCACATCATTACGGAACGGTGACAATAAGCACTAGAATGGACACAGAGATTCACTAGAAAATGTCCTATTAATTGGCTCATGTAACGAGCTGTAGATGAAAGTGAAAAACGAGAAGATATAGACATTTATTCGAGCGTATCGTGCCAACATGCAACTCTATAAAAACCCATTGGTCGAAGCAGTTGACTCCAAAGTTGAGCTTTACAAGGCAAATGCAAACCAGAAATTAAAACTGTGCGAAGAGGATTTTTTATGCTAACCATTCAGGTATCAAAATAAGAAGTAAAAGTAGGACAACAGCAAGATTATGCAATCATTGTCAGGGTTAGATACAATGAACGAAGAAACAAGGTTTGTGATCAGTTGGCTAGCTATACAGCATGAAATAGCAATCAGTGAATTATTCAATCAGACTAGGCAGCATAATCCAACACACATGACCAGCACTGGACAATTGATAATGGAGCGGGTTTATGGCCAAGGTAAACAACTCAAGGCTTGCACGGTAGTCCGCGATGGCTTCGGCAATGATCGAAACATGTTTATTGCGTTCCTTTGCATGGCGTATTGTGATAATGTAGACGGGTATACATGACGCATTTATTCGAACCTGATGACCCGTTTCAACCAAGTGTTGCATTACGGAACTTGGTGTTCCCCACCGTGATGCAGGACCGTGTTCAGCAGTCCGTCTGAACAGAAAGACTACCGTATCTTTTTGGATGACCACATATTCCTATTTGGAAGTAGTTGTAATGGCTCCTCAGCTTTGTTGTGGTTTTCCACTGGACACATTATTGCGTCAGGTCCCTAGACTTTTGTGCTCAATCAGCAACTTCTTAAGTATATGAACGGTAACAAAGGTGAGGTCCGCGCAGGGCTATCGTGTCCTCTCCGGGTGAACAATTCCGAGGCCAGCGTCTGTCCAGCTGAGTAAAGCGCAACCGCGCACATTTCATTGTTCAAGAAACCTTCTAAATTGATAATTACCTAACGGAAAAGTGTAAGTAGACAAGTACTTACTCCATAGATCAAATCGTCGCAAGAATGATAGTGGTTTAGGAGAATAATCAAATATGGATTTTTTGGGAAGCTCTTCTTAGTACTTGGTGTGCGCGCTTCCACTCACGTGACTATGACATGCCATTCAGAGGTAGACACGATCTCAGCAATCACAGGTGTAACCAAATAGCACTCAAGGTCACAACATAAGCTAAACAGATCATAAGCACCAAGGTGTCTGTGGTGTTGAGTGGGTGTACTGTGATCGCGCGTTCAACGGGGGCCTATATTGATTATTGTCGACCAAGCGTGCATGTTAGCACACGCTGAACAAACGCAGAGAACACGTATGATGACACGAGCTTCAGTGATTGGCTTGAAATATATGGCACATAGATCAGCAGGTATGTATTATGAGTGGTCCACTGTCCGATTGAATTAAAGCACGACCTAACACAGCTTCGCTAAATTAACCCCAACACAACTCACATGGATCCGGAATGTGACGAAAACGCAATCACTAACGAACAATACGAAGACTTGTGTCAGCAGTTTTCCTACTTATCCACCTCTCGGCGTCTGGCATGGGATGATCTGAAAGGTGCGTTGGAATTATTAAATGTTTCATTGGCCGGACATGAACTTCGAGAACTTGCAGGAGCACCAAAGCAGTGGGTGACGATGGAGGAGTTTGCCGATCTGTACGCTAGAGCTCGGGATATGAAGGATAACACGAAGATGATTCGTAAAGCATTACTCCTCAAGGCGGTTACGGACGTGAAGGTGAATACAAGTAATTCGTAATATCTCATTAATGAATAAAAACTGTACAGCAGGCAAGATAATCAGTAGGGTTCCAGAGGGTACTTACCAGGCTTCAGTAAATATCTTTGGCGGTTCGTTAGCAAATGACGTCACTTCTGAATATATTGGTTACACGTGAATTCCAGTTGCTCTTCTAAACGGTTGATAATATAAGCAATATAAACTACCTATACTTGGCACCGAAGCACACTCATGACTACCAAACAAGCTTATCGTGTACAAACTAAAAATAGCTATGGGCAGACCTGATCGTTGTACTAGGTTATTCACAGACCGAAAGTACTGCCTAGCTGATGGCTTTACGAGCAACCAATTGGTTCAACTCTTCTTTTTTCTTCACAGGCTTTCACCAGCAATAAGGATAGCGACATTCGTCATTCTGTCAGCAAAGCCGAAGAACGTGGATTCACACTCTGGATCAACAAGCGTCTTGAAGGGGATCCAGATTTAAAACCTAACATTTTGCCGATTGACCCTAATGTGGATGGTCAGTTGTACGATCGCTGCCGTAACGGTATACTTTTATGCAAACTGGTCAACGTCGTCGCTCCTAACACGATTGATGAACGCAGCGTGAACAAGGGGGCTGCGCTGAAAAACGTTTTTCATGTAAGTACCCGTGAGAATCCTCCAACTTTGCCATCGTATAGCGATTAAAGAGTACTTTGTTGACGCCAGCAATGGATTTTGATTTCCGCTGGCATGAAATGCCATCTTTTGAGAGAGTGGTTGTGTTTAGTTAGATTGGATAATGTTAATAATTAAAATCAGCGTACAAAAATGCGAAAGAGCAAGTGCTGAAAGAACTTAACTTAAGCGGACAGACTCGGACTCCTATGAAAGTTCTATACACAATATGTTGAAACCCTCCCGGCAGAGCGTCATCTAGACAGATATGTAAACAACTATTTGAACGTAGTGTTCCAAAACTTCATGTGCTGTCTTTATCCATAATAAAAGAATAAATAATATGAAAAGCACGGTAAGAAGACGAAAACTGGTAGATGCATGCATTTCGTATTGTCGCCTCAGTGCCATTAACAATAACCGGTATGCAACTGTACACTTAAATATGCGTGTGACCGAATAAGCATGAGGTGAAAAATGAATGACGGAAGTTCCACCCCTATGTCCACGGCAGTCTTAAGCTGATAAATAATTGCTTTTGAACACACAGGGCCGGCTTCATCCGGCTTATCACAACGGCCTCGGCGAAACGGAGGAAGCAGGGATTAGGGTGACGTAATACAAGTGTGAACGCTGATCCAAGCTCTATCCGGTGACGCGTAGTCAGTAGATGTTTACCTATTGAGGAAGCTGGCGACATGCGCAAACACGGAACTTCAGTGGGACAGAGATGCTGGTCAGTTGCACGTTAAACCCACCTTGGCATGTGATCCATTATTCGGGAAGTCAAAGACCGATTGGTTCTGCCTATGTAACTGTCTCCGCAGTCGCACAGGAATTTGTAAATGCAGTGTGAGTTGGCCCCTATCGGTTGAGCTTCCTTCGTTGGATGCACCGGCAAGTTACAGGTTCTATTGATGACCACAACCTGAGCAGCACAGTAACTATTCTGCGTAGCAGAGATTAAACGTTTCGTGGTTTTCAATACAGTAAATTCAGCCTTGAAAGGCAACTCGATAGAGATCTTTTTCTTGGCTGCCGTATGTACCAAGTCTTTCCGGCCCCGCTGTTGACTGTGTTTCTCTATAAATCTACGTGGATAACCATTTGCAAAAAGTGTTGCTGTGAATAACTTTAGCTCGTCGGCTAGACAATCAGCTGACCAAGTTCGTCTAGCACGAATAAGTAAAGTTTTCGCAAGCGTCTGCTAGTACCGCACTGGTGTGAAGCTGGTGAAGTGCAGGTATCGGCCGGACCAGGTTGCTTTTCTGTAGACAGACCTTTTAATGAGCCCGTCATCCCCGTGACTGATGAGGTTGTCTAAGAATGGCAGACAGTTCTTCTGTTCCACTTCGCAGGTGACCCACAAGTTGTTTTATGCACAGTTGAGTTGCTGCAGAAACTGGACAATCTGCTGCTCTGATGAACAAAACGCCAATATGTCATCCACATAACGCTTATAGTATGGTAACTGAGCTATTTCTGCGGATATGCCTCTTTCTATCATCAGCATGAAGACATCGGCAAGTACAGGGCTAAGTAGGCCATCTAATGCCACACCATCGATTTGACGATATGGGGTGTTTTGAAAGTGGAAGCCAATATTTGCTGTACCCAGGAGTAAGGATTCTTTTAGAGAATCGACTGGAATTGGTAACGAACAACTAGACTGCTCAGCTAGCTCACATATGTAATCAACAATTTGTTGCAGTGGGACGCTGGTGAATAGAGATTCCACATCCAAGGAACACATAACTTTATGGTATTGAAAACCATGAAACGTTTAATCTCTGCTACACAGAGAACTTACTGTGCCACTCAGGTTGTGGTCATCAATAGAACCTGTAGCTTGCCGGTGCCTCCAACGAAGGATGCTCAACCGATAGGGGCCAGCTCACACTGCATTTACAAATTCCTGTGCGACCGCGGAGATAGTTACATAGGCAGAACCAATCGGTCTTTGACTTCCCGAATAAAGGAACACGTGCCAAGCTGGGTTCAACATGCAATTGACCAGAATCCCTGTCCCACTGAAATTCCGTGCTTGCGCAAGCTGCCAGCTTCCTCAGTAGGTAAACATCTACTGACTACGCGTCACCGGATAGGGTTTGGATCAGCGTTCACACTTGTATTACGTCACCCTAATCCCCGCTTCCTCCGTTTCGCCGAGGCCGTTGTGATAAGCCGGATGAAGCCGGCCCTGTGTGTTCAAAAGCAATTATTTATCAGCTTAAGACTGCCGTGGACATAGGGGTGGAACTTCCGTCATTCATTTTGCACCTCATGCTTATTCGGTCACACGCATATTTAAGTATACAGTTGCATACCGGTTATTGTTAATGGTACTGAGGTGACAGTACGAAATGCATGCATCTACCAGTTTTCGTCTTCTTACTGTGCTTTTCAAATTTCTGAAGGGAGCCAACTGCTTTGTATAAATAATATGTCAGCTTTACGCCGTAACGGCGCTCCGCTATGCGCGACCATCACAAGTAGCGCGTGACCACCACTGGTCGCGCGTGGGCTGGGTATACTGCGAGGACGCCGGCTCCTACGCCATTTCGAACGGGTGACCTTATGTTTGCAAGGCAGGTGGGTAGATCACTCGGCCACCGGCCAATTGTCTTTAACCTTAAACTGTTTTTAACCATACCAGAGAAAATTTGAAGGTTTAAGGCTATTAGAGACACTGGTCTTAATAGCTTAGAGGAGAATAAGTGAATTCGACATTTCTGTTAGCTCTGAGGTACAATGAAATCTACATGTGGCTATGACTTTTTTAACTTGATTTTCGACAGTGTTTTATTTTCAATGTGATTTCTGAAAATGAGCACTGAGAAATACATGCAGAAATACACTAAAATACCAGTATATCAAATGTTTGGGGACTTCGAAGATTGGTTGATCATGGTGAAATCATGTTCTACCGAAACAAGTCAAACCAAAAGGTAATAATACTTCGTAACTGCAGGACATTAACGTTTCTCTACCCTGAGTATTTCATTATGACGGTCTTCATTATAAAAACATTTCATTCTGTAACAGATTCATTGTGTTTGTCGGTATGTGAATATAATTCATCAGATTTACTCCTAAATGAGGCTATACTTGGTGTTCTGTAACCAGCTACGGCGCAAAATCGCTGCGTCTCGGGAAACCATTTTGAAATTAGCGAACTAAATTCTTGGAAATAGGTCTGTTTCCTACACCTATCTGCTTCTTGCAATCGATTTGATCGCCTATATGATGTCTTTTTACTGTATTATGAAAGGGCATCTAGTTTGGCTGACTAATTTATTTGATTCATTAGGTGAACGAGAATTTGACTTTGGCCATCAATTCGGCAGCCTCCATCGGCTGCTGCGTGGTGAACATGGGTCCGGACGATGTTGAAAAACAAAAGCGACATATTGTACTTGGATTAATTTGGCAATTGATTCGCAAGGGCTTGGTGGACACAATTACGTTGACACGGCACAGTGAACTGATTTGCTTGCTTCAAGAAGGTGAATCTCCTAATGACCTGATGCGCCTGAAGCCGGAGGAGATTTTACTCCGTTGGGTTAACTATCATTTGGAGCGTGCTGGAGTAGATCGAAGAATGAAAAATTACAATCGGGACCTAAAGGATTCTGTGATATACACATACTTGATTAATCAGATAGCACCATTTGAAAAGCGGGGAAAGCTAAAATCCCCGGCAGAAATACTAAACTCATCGAGTGATAAAGAGCGAGCAGTTCAAGTACTTAACAATGCCGAGCTCTTGAATGCCAGGACCTTCTTATCACCAGAGGACATTTACATGGCTAGTGAACACACAGATCGGTTGCATTTGGGATTTTTGGCGACGTTGTTTAACATGTACCCAGGAATGGATCCGCAGGGAACTTGGACCATCGAAGGTGAAACACTCGAGGAGAGGACGTATAAAAACTGGATGAACTCTCTTGGAGTCAGGCCTTTTGTCAGTTTTATCGACATGGATCTCAGCAACGGTTTGGTGCTGCTTCAACTCATCGATATTATCCGGCCTGGAACAGTGGACTGGTCGAAAGTTGTGCACAATTTCGATCCAATGAAGCGATTATTTCAAGAGCAAGGGAACTGCAACTTGGTCATCACTTCGGCGCGCTCCATCAACATTGTGTTTGTCAACGTGAGTGGGGAGGATATTAGAGAAAGAAACAAAAAGCTCATCCTTGGAGTAGTCTTCCAACTTATGCATGCGTACACCTGCAAGCTGTTGCATGAGGTAAGTATTAGAAATTGGTGCAGTAATCGGACTCTGCCTTTCTTTTGCTTTGATGCAGATCAATTGCCCAGTTACTTTTAGCTTATGAAAGACCATTAGTGCCCGAATGTTTGAGCAGTCTTTCAGATACTATAATGGGGAACTCGTGCTCCTAGGCTAGCAAGGTATTACGGACAACAGTATTTGTGCGGCTTGATAAGCGAAACTCGTTAAGAAGTAGTTTGAAAACCACGATCAGATGATGAAGACGATATCCATGCGTTTTATAATATCTTCAGTACTGCTAATAATCTCGGTAAGAATACAAACAGGCGTTTGAGGGAGTGAGCGGCCAATTGATTTTGGGGTGTAAAGAGTAGTAAAAGCGTGAAATCCTTAACCGGGAAGTTTGAAATATCACCTGCTCAAATAAATTTAATTAGCTATCGATCAGCCTTAGGCTGTATCCGACACAGCGGTCGTATTTTCATGCTTTACCGCGCATCTCATTTTTGTTTGATCACATCAACTCTCAGGTATGTACATCTAACGATACATATGGATTTGTTTAGCCATTTTGTCGGGATTTTCAACTTACTGGAAAAAGCTAATTACTTCATGCCATTACAAAATCCAGTGCCGGTAATCAAAACTGCTTTAAACACCATACTTGTTTGTATTAGCCTAACTTTCCCCTTGGTGTACCGGAAAATTGGTCTTCCAGTAATTTAATTCGTCATCCATACTGATTAATTACAGGTATTGTTACACATGTTCAATCCCCTCTAAACCCAACTCATTTCACCATACCTCATTCGACATCACGGTCTTTCGATGGTGTTTTTGATTCCTTTCCTCATTTCGCTGACAATCACCAATCGTTATTGTGACGAAACGGATGAATTCGACGGAATGGATCTCCGTTCGATGCTGGGTTATTCATCTAAATGGTGGCTGCATTTCGGGAAACATTATATTGACACAACTTTGGGGAAATCAAAAGGGAGTAGGTTTGTGTTCTTCAGCCTTGATTCGTCCGATTGTAAATTCATAATGCCTTATGCAGAAAGCATAATACGGCATTTGCACCCGAAACGGGCCCGATTTATTTCCCCGTTTCTCTCTACTAGGCTAGTCAGCATGCTCTCACAAGAAGGGATCGTTAAAGTACGCTAACTGTGGTGACAGACTGGGGCTCTAAACCTGCTAGTTGTCAACCAACAGCCACTAGGTTGTCAAAAGATTTACCAGCTTACTATAATATTTTACAGAGAGGCTGAACTTGGCCGATCTGCGTTTGTCATACATTGCACAAACAATGTGGTGTGTGCCGCCTGACCCGGTTTCATCGGCACGTTTCGTCTGTGCATACGTTTACTCACACAACGGTAATTATTTCTTGCTTTACTCCTTAGATTTCGAGTTTAGCTAGTTGTTTAATGGAATAATGGATTTATCCAGGATATAAAAGCAAACACTTGATGATCTGGACACAGAGATGGCTGTCAAAAGGCTTAGTATTAGAGTTGTGCAACTTTGTATAGCTAACTTTTGGGATACGTTCCATCAATAACTACAGTTTGTGCAACTGGTTGATGAAAATTTAAAGAATGAGCTTGTCTTCACTTGCCAACATGGGTACTTAATACTGTGCAGTGTTGGGAACATAGTTTACCTTTCCTAGCCAAACCAACCAATATATTTAATCAGGTCGTTGTTCACATATTGCATAAAAAGGGAAACGAATCAACAGTACGCCGGTATGCAGTACCTATGTATCACTAACACGCCACCAACGCCAGTTGTACGTAGGCTACAGATATTGTGAGGGCCGGCCCGTAACCTAAAGGATCACAAACCTGCCTTGTAATTCGAGGGTCGGGTTCGAGCCTGCGTAGGGGACCGCGCGACCCTTGCAATATCCTTAGTCCACTTGCGAGTCCTGGTCGTTAAGGGGCTGCAAAGCGTCGCTACGGCTTACCGAAGTACTTCTAACACCTCAAATATTGCATTATATTGAATTCTTGCGCATTGTTTTCCTCTAGAAAGAGACAATATAGGCCATTTAGGACTTCCTATTCCTTTATTACTAACAAAAGCTTTGTCAACACGCGGCACGATTTTTCCTTGATTGGACGTTTAGGGAAGTATTGATGGTATGAATTTGGCAAAGTGACCTTCAATCAATTACACGGCTTATGCCTGCGACAATAGTATGGGGTCTGGAGAACAGGTTTTTTTGAACAGTTGTAGCATGAATCATTGCACTAATTGATAGCTTGGAGTCACGTATCAACCCCAAATAAACAGGCAATGTTTTTAATCATTATTAAGTACTGCGAACATATGACTGCCAGTCTAGAGTTTGCACACTTTGCGGTCATTTGTACCTGCTTTACAGATATAAAACATACTTCGGCAGTTTTCGATGCTTATTGTTCCAACCAGTGCATATCACAAGCGGTCGCATCCCAATATAAATTATGCATTTATAGAAAGCCTAAGCTGTGAGTGGAACCCTAGAAGAGATGTATGACGCTTGATGCGGTTCTGACAATTTGATTTCACATTAGACTGATATCGAGAGTCGCCGCTGCACTCTTCTCGGGACCCTCTTCAGAATCTGAAACGATAGAGCAAAGATTAGAAAAGCTCTTTAGGAGGCTACCTTACCGGAGCATTGTGGCTGTAAACTGGTAGGGTCCTAGTGGACGCAATTACACTCGATGACTAATCGGGAACTAATGGTGGGCGAAAATGGGCACATTACCGTAATTCATCAAAATTCAATCCACACCAAATCTCACGGAATACGGAACACCTGATACCACTGTCCGCCTCATCGGCCTGAGGGGGGAGAGCTGCAGTTGGCTGATTTATCTTAAGGTCGGGTCCTAATCGCTTGTTTAAATATTTGACATTTCCCAAACCATTGGAGGCATATAGTAATATCGGTACAAGTTGCTCATATAAAGCCAGATTGCTGTCGAAACGGTGCATTGCTAGGACGTCTCAATGACACTGAAGTCAAAAGGGGGTGAACGGTTACGATGAGCACAATAGGAGAAATGCAGTTCGAATTTCAGCATTCTTTATCGATTGCAACCGACTGATTTGGGGGTATGCGCCGTTGTTACGGACGTTTCTGGCATAGCGCTTTCCAGTACAACCCTGTATAATGCGTCAACTTTTCGCTCCTTGAAAAAGCTCATTGACAACATTATTATTAATCAGTCAACACAAGCTGATACCCAGCTGGTTGCACAAAAGCAGTCCTCTGTGGCTGTCTTACGCACGTGCTTTGAATTTAACTCTGAATGAATGAATGAATGGTCAGCTGTACGTCGTAACGGCGGTTTGTTGCGTGCGACCACCACCAATCGCGCTTGGGCTGAGTATATTGTGAGGACGCCCACCCCTACGCAGATTTGAACCCGTGACCTTATGATTGCAAGTCAGGCGTGCAGACCACTCGGCCACTGGCCGATCAACTGAACTCTACAAGTATCCGGTTTGAACGCACGCCTTTAAACTATCTTAACAACCGAATTGTGTCGAAAGTCGCTTACATTAACTTAACAAGCAAATCATGTACTACCGCATCTTTCGTTTTGAAACGACTGGAGTCTATTGTTGCTCAACACGACTTACGAGGCTAGTCCACAATTTTACACTTCAGTGACAAACAATTATTCTTAGTCTCTCACTGTCACTTAAGGGCAGAATAATACCATGCCGCAGATTCTTCGGAAAATGTCAAAAACCTATGGTCACTGAGAAATATGGTCCACCCAGCTTGGTCATCATCCAATAAGCCGAGTAAGCAATTGTGTTACGAGTATACCGATAGGAACGGGCAGTGAAATAGAACAACCTCGAAGGAACTTGTCGATTAGCTGCGTACTGCTATTTTGCTGTTTCAGTGATGGAAATTTGAGCTCTGAAGGCGTCGGAAATAACCAAAGGCTGTTACTTGGGATAATACTGTAAATTTGCTCCCCTATCACACCGACTATTTTAAGTAATTTCATTGAAATCGCATAACCTTCTGCCAACATCTGAGATGTCTAGTTTAGTTATATTTTAAGTGGTTAAGCGATTCAATTATCAGATGTAAACACAGAGTAAACGAGGTAACTAAATAAATCGTTAGCTTTACGCCATAACGGCGCTTCGCTGCGATGCGACCACCAGCAGTCGCGAGTGGGCCGAGTATACCGCGAGGACGCCCACCCCTACGCGGATTCGAATGGGTAACCTTATGGTTGCACAGTAAGCAAGCAGACCACTCGGACATCGGCCGACGTAAACACACAGTGAGGATATTTATCTTTCTGTCGTTATAGTGATAACAACGTACAAGTGTCGTTTTTGCTCTGCGTTGCATCCGAACTGCTAGATTCCATGCTTTCACGGAGGTCCAGTCGAATACAAGAACAGTGCAGGCTGGGTTCCACCTAGGTCGGAGATGTATTGACCACGTCTTTCACCTGGTATCCCAGCACGGTGGAGCTTTCTGTTGCACAGCCATCACTTGCTTGTTGGATATATACGACTCAGTTGACAGAGCTGCTCTCTGGAGTCGTATGTTGAGAAGGGGAGTGCATAACAGATGTATCAAAATCCTCTGAGCAATCTATTTATCAACATGGGGTCGCGCAATCCTTTGTTACCACTATTGGTGCGAGAAAGCGTTGCCTCATATTATCTTCTTGAGCAAATTTGCTATGGATGACATTTTAGGTACTGCTCTGGAGAGTTTTGGGTCGGATTGGGTCAACATTTTGCTGGTTGCTTGATTTCGTGACTCAGAGTATGCTGATTGTATCACCGTAATTCCAGACATTAATCAGAAGACGTAGATTGTGAGCTGTGGTCGTCATTTTGTGCATTCTTATCGCGAACGACCACTGTGCTGTGCATTCAAAACAGCTGACAGTGGCTCTAAGCTTACTGTGGTAGCCCATACGCTTTGCTATCTATGATCACGGTTTATTTACGTTCCAATGTTGAATGTTTTTGTGATTGATAAGAATGCACGAACTGACGGCGTCATCACACAATCTACGTCTTCTGATTTTTATGTTTGGAATCTGAAAAAGAAATTCTTGTTTCGACTCGCCGTAATTCGTAACTAATTGTAGACTGCGTAGGATATGCTGTGGTTTGGAAAATTCTGCCTTACGGTTCAGGATGATCCTTGCTTCTCCCAAGTGCAAAGTTTTCCTGCAAGGCTGGTTATCAACCGCTCCTAGCCTTAATCTCTCCTGCTTCTCTTTGTGGGTAGTCGACAAGTTTGTTAACCTCGGAACTTGTGTTAGCGCTGGTGGATAGTGGTGAGATATCCATACACGTCTCCAAAGCCAGAGTAGCCTTTATCATCCTCATTTGTAGTTGCTAGACCCGGCCAGTTCGCGCGAGCAAAATCCACCGGTTGTTTTTGATTGCCGATGCTTCCGGAACCTCGCTGGTGTGCGTTGTCAACATCGCATTAGTAATGATAATTTCTGCCGTCGGTTCTTAAACTCAAACACTCTGTCGCTCGCCAGGTTACATACTTTCCTTAACTGTGCCTCAGTGGTCCAAGGAGTGCTTCGAATGCCTCCTAAACGGCTGTCCAGCTGCACTTTCTTTTCATGCTCTGGCCTTGACTGTAAACTACGCAAAGGTGGCCAACGTACAACTTGGATTCGGGGTGTGTTAGCGCTAACATCACCGTTGGCCGCACTGGGGCGATACCTTCGCACAGTTTGGAGTCCCAAGGATACCGAACATACCTGGTTGGAAACTATCACAACGGTTCAGAACCATAATCAATAACGAAAATGTTGTAAAACTGTCTTTCCTTACGGCCTTCTCTCTTTTGTTTTTACCCGTTTTGTGATAATAGCAGTCGTGTACTGGTCTAGTGTTTATATATATATATATATATATATATATATATATATATATATATATATATATATACGTTGACGTGCAAAGAGGTCTAAATCTGCCTGGTGCTCTTTAATGTTTTTGGTGGCCATATTTTCTGACGTGAACTTTTGTTCTGTTTGGAACAGCCTTTGTGTTATGGGTTTGTGGCTCACAACGGGCGACCTTATGGACCCCAAACCTGGTTCCGAATCGTTGTTTGAGGCGTCGGCTGCAGAGCTCTGTGATGTAGTGTCAAGAAAGTTAGCTAGCATTTTTCATGTTCTTGGCTCGGTTTCCAACTCTAAAATCCGTGGAGTCCAGTAAAGCACGAAACGCGGGACAGAGTGCAGTATTGATGGTGGCTCGCTCCTAAACTTCCTCTAGTGCCCTTTCAATTTCCTGTTTGTTATGTAAATTCTAATTCGAACCACATGCTAGAGATGTTTTAGATGCTAGGTAGTATTGCCCAGGAAACTTCATACAAATACGCCATTCTACTCTGAGCCAGTCTCCGTCGCTGATTCACATTTTGTCAAATATGGTATTTCGAACTGGACTGAGTTCATTTATGAGCCCATATGAGAGGTTTACAGCACATAACTCAAATATCTCACTCAATTATCTTAGATCTCGGACTTTTCTCCCCACCATATTGCTACGTGGCCTCGGCATCATGTGGATGCGTAACGGAATTACTGGGCCCCATGAAAGTTACAGTCAAACCTATGCTCCGTTCCATATTTCATGCTCTTCTAGAATGCTTTTCTTTCGTGTTCTACTGACTAAGGACTCCTCATAACCCCCAGGACCTGAGTTGGAGATATGAATAGTCAATGAATTGGCGTCAGTTAGTTACCTGATAAAATTTAGGTATGGTTGGGGATCCAGGTCATTTGATGTCGCAAGTTTGCTTGGAGTATTTCTACCATTGCTGCCGTTGTGCTTTCATTTATATACAAAAAGTTACATGTTACTGTGTGGGGTCTCACTCAGTTGGAATCGAGTAGATGAACATTCAGCAATGTACAGTTACTAAGTGTTTCCAGTTTATCTCATATCGTTTAGAGAGCTTTTGCATGATAAAATTCAGACAAATTTTGTGATTCCCGAACCGGGAGGGATGTTGTTCATCTAGGGTGCGATGCATCGTCATTGGGCGTCTGCATCGAACAAGCTGAATTCAATATTGATGCAAATACCTTGATGTTCTTTAAGCAGGTGGTTGATTTACTCCCGTTTTGTTCAGCTGCACTCGTTGCATGCTCTCGGGAACTCGCCTTTGGGTCTTCATGCCTAAATCATTCAAGCGGTAGCAACTGTTGTATCAGAGTTCAGAACGTGAATAATTCCAAGCCATGTCCAACCTAGAAGAGGCGATGTAGGTTATTTACCAGGAGTGAGTACTGAATAAGGGACCGGTAAGTGTTTTGTTCAGGTGAGCACGTGACCTATGTACTTCAGAACCGGCCTTCCCAAATTAGATTGTTTTCCGACACTCGCTTGTGAACTTTAATGAGAATCATGAGCTGACCCTTTCATGCAGCCATTTGATTGATCTGATAACTGCTTAATAAAACGGCTAGTTATGCTTTCCTGTACAAACTATATAGTGGATTCAGAGAATGTATTTTCACGAGTACGAAACCTTGATTTGACCCCCCTAGGATTGGTTGACATAGTTCCGGGAAAAATTTATTGTTATTCCGTCTACAGGCTGCTGGTGATGGGACGCTCGCTCCGCGGGATGAAAAAGAAGTAATCACCTGGGCCAATGAGCGGCTGGCAGATGCAAAGGCACAACCATTGCGTGGGCTTCGTGATCCTGCGTTCGCCACTGGCGTGCCGATCCTACAGCTGTTGGAACAAATTCGACCTGGCTCCACCAATCGGGAGGTGTGGAAAGGAGGGAAGACTGATAATATGTCCATGTGTACCTACGCCATCTCCTGCTGCCGCAAAGCTGGAGCGTGCATTTACGCCCTACCAGAGCATTTACGAGATCTGAACGGCAAAATGATACAGACTGTCTTGATTTGTCTACAAGCCCTGGACTACAGTCTGCAAAGAAGAGCAGAGCACAGTAAAACAAAGGTAAAAAAGACGAAAATTAACTGGCTTCCTGTAGACGACCCTGATAAATCCCTTTCAGAATCCGAATAAAATTGGTAGAATTATCACAACGGCATGATACAGGACAGCCTTTGTTAAGAGATGCTCTGTTTGAAAATCTCATTTTGAATCTTGTTGTAAGCAGGTGCGCAGATTGTCATTGTACTTTTGGTGTGTTATTTCCGAGCGACATTTTATCATTGCAGACGGCACACGTTCTTTTGTTGCATCAAAGAAACACGAAATGACAGTGTAGTTTCAGGGACACAGTAGCGATATCCCAGGTGCTCTCTTTACCTGCCGACTATGCAAATTTCGCCGCGGTTCCCATATATATATATATATATATATATATATATATATATATATATATATATAAGTCAAAGTATGAGATCAGCTCAACAGCGATGAAAGCAATCCCTATTGCGTGCATTAGGATGGGCGTCAGAGCCATGCTGTTCAAAAGACGTAACTACATCATAGTAATTACATCATAGTAAACCTGTCCTCAGCTCTACGTCGTAACGGCGCTTCGCTGTCGCGCGACCACCACCAGTCGCGCGTGGGCTGAGAATACCGCGAGGACGCCCGCCACTACACGGATTCGAACCGGTGACCTTATGATTGCTAGCAGGCATGCAGACCACTCGGCCAGCGGCCGACGTCAGAGTATTAGCGTATAACGTTATCACTGGAATGGGCACATTTTACTCCAAACTAGGCAATCTTACACCAAAACTCTTGACTGTACTGACGTAACCTACATATGAGCTTCCTTTACGGATTAGAGTGGATAAGTGATAAGCTTAACAGTTGTGCGGATGCATCACGGTGTCAGCTCGATCGTCCCATATTGTGTGTATCATCGTTGAGACATTTTCAGGCACGCACTATTTAACACTTTTTGCCATTAATGGCGCCACAGATCAACTATTCACTATGCTGAGAAGTGAGAAATTATACACATGTTTGTGACTCGTACTCACGATGAAATATTTTCGTGAGTTAACATATGGTGGTCTGTTTACCTTTGTTCTCGTACTCTCACTAGACGAATAACGTTGCAGTAAGTTTGAGTTACACATTGTTGGTTCTGAACCTGGATACAGCGGTTCAGTATCACTTCGCTTACTTGTAATTCCTGTAGTACTACACTAGAAATGGTGAAATAGTGGAAACAACAGTCCCTAAACAGGACTGGACGAAAGATTATCAAGTAGCGTGAAATGATCGCATCCCATATCGGAAAAGTGAGTTGCTGCGAAATGAAAAGTGGCCTACTGCTCAGCATTCTATGTGGTGTTAATACACTGCCTCCGTCAAGCTGCAGAAGTTATGTGTATGTCGATTTTTCGTGATATCTTGCGGAACTGCACAAGTCACTTCGCTAGTATCGTAACATTCACAGGATCGTTTTAACGATTAAGAACACAGAAGTGCAAGGATCCGAGTGCAGTTATCAGGACTAGATGTTTAGCATTGTCACACTTTAGCGCTTCACGTCCGATAGGAAAATGGAGCTAAGTAATATTTGTTTTCATGTGTAACCGTATCAGACGTAACGCGTTGCTTAAACGCCAACTTTATTTGTCAGACTCAGTTAACCACACTGTTTTATAGAGGTTTGCTCACTTCAGGAATGATGCACCCGTCTCTGTTTTTCTACCAAGTCGGAGGCGCCTACTTGTGTCAGTGAACCGGTGTTGTATATGTGTCAAAACCAAATACATTCACGAGGTTAGCCAAAGGTAATTGAATGAGATTCGACTTGCCAACCTCGTGGTATTTTGGGTTACACCTTCGTTGTCGCTCTAAGGCCGCACATATAAATCGATATTCGCCGAACGCTCTTACCACACAATGTTGATATGACTGCTGTGGTCGACCTTGAAAAGCAAAACCAACGGCATATTTTCGACGAAATGTAACCACTGAGATAAATCAAACACAAAATTAATGAAATTATTAGAGGGCTTTCGTTTCCCACTGAATTGGGGCTACACATTGAAGTGCTGTTATTGTAACGGAGCAAAACACTAAATCATGAAAGACGAATACCTTATTGAGTACTGTTGGCAGCGACCCACACGATTACACAGTAATATAATCCGAAAGCTTACAGTCTCACACGCCTACTATTCAGTGAATTGTTTGGATCACACTTAAAGATGAAGGTCTTGAATAATGTGGTTTTTTTGCTTCATTGGACAGCAGATAACTCCTGAATACTTAGTAATGTTAACCAAACTCTTTTCTCAACCCGTCATATCCCATCCTTCTCACTAACTGACGGATTTACACAGAATCTACACATAAAGATTTCTGCACAGAAATAACTATGCTAGCAGATTCAGATACTTTTCGTATACATGAGAACTGCACAGATTCGTCCGATCGCCTTCTGCTGCAACCTAGCGTGAACGATAACAAGTGTATTGTTCGTTGACAGGAGAGCAAACACTTCGTAGGTAGCACGGATGAAATTTTAACTCGATACCCTGCGCATTTTTTGGCTAGCGTTTTCTAAGCACCAGCACGCATCCACTAAGTTCAGATCGTACAAGATAATTCCTGTACTCCAAACCGCCTAGAGAAGATAATTCTTATACACACATTGGAGGCTGATCACTGTCCCCGTAAATGGACTCTGGTCCGTACGAGAGGATTTCTGCTGCGTCACAAGACACGACTCATGGACAACCTCAGTCTCAGGTAAGGGTGAAGCATTTCCTTACCTGAACAGTACTGCTATACTTAAAATGCAACTCCATACTTTTTGGGGTTGCGTGAAATTCTGTTCGAAGTGCTCAACCAAAGCACAGACTGATTCCAGTTACAACTACTCGATCCGCAGCTAGCTTCATGTAAACATTCGCGTAGAGCTGGATCGATTCACCTACTAGTTACAGCCCGACTAGAATTTTCTTCCATCAGACCGGTCATTTTCCACGAAAAGCGGTATAGTTTGGGTTTCGATCATGTAGTAGATGTATTAGGATTTGTTCAACTGGCTTTAAATGGCTGGTGGAGTCCTGTGGAGTTAAGGTAGCCGACAGCGTAGTTAGTGAAACTGCAGGTAGTGTTTGTGATGGGAGTGTATTATCAGACCATATAGCGGAATTCAGCAAGCATGCCAGATAGCCAATGGCAGTAGAACCGAGCGGACTCAATCACTGGAGGCTGATTAGTGGATGTTACTGTGCGGTACTCTTAGGTCGCCGCTGTTTGTTCAGTTGAATTGAAAGGAGTTACCTCTTTGGCCCAGTAGGTCATCTGTCTACGGAAGCTTGCTAACAATCTAATTGGGTGCCCTATGCGTTTCAATTGTGTTATAATTTTTGTTGGTTTACCATTGCTGAACAAATTCTGGACCTTGAAGTGCCGACGTTGGCGACAGTGATGTTAAGGGAAGGGCACGGGTTGCGTCCAGTCGGTTCCCGGTATGTTTTAGCATCTTGGAATGCAGGACCCTTTGAGTTTGAGGCTGATACATTCTAAAAGACATGGAGGGTATTTGAGGCAGCAAACTTAGCTATATGAAGTCATTTTCGGTGATATCCTTGGGCAGCTACAGAGGCAAAATTTGTTCAGCAAACAAGGAAAGGGGACCCGGTGCCAGGAAAGTGTATACAATGGATCTGAATTTCAGTACATAGCCTTTCCAACGGTAACCAGTCATGATGGGGGAAACCAAATTCACCATTGACAATACAGTAGAGGCAGCCAGGTGATTCGCCGGCCCCGGAAAGCGCCGAATAAATAGGCTTTGATCGACGCCAAAACAAAGGAGATGACCACCACTGTCTGTCATTCAAATACCGTAGTTGTGTCAATCAATAACTTCATGCTTTCAGCTAATTCATCATTGTCATTCCCAATCAGCAGGGTTAGGTTAGCCTGGAAAAGCATCAGACACATGCGTTTCGACCTTTTGGGTCTCGCCAGTGGTGCGCCTACCAGCGGATCGCTGCCGGGCTTTTTCTTCGTGCTTTAATGCATTCTCAATAACCACTGGGGCAGACGTGTGGCTTTTATTGGTGGATGTTCAGGGTTTTCAGCGTAAGAGCAGGAGATGCCTGTGGTTTGTAACTGGTCGCTCGGAAACGCACACCAGCACAACTGGGCATTATACACTCGGTTTTCCGCTGCTCATCATTACATCTATAAACCTCAACGATAGCTGTTAAAAACGGGAGGGGCTACGCATGGTACGGAGGAGTTGAACGACTTTGGAGTAGAACATTTACCCTATGGTGCGGAGAAGCGTAGTCTAACGGGGCCGGAGTACAACTTTTCGAGAGAAGAAAGGTGTCTCAAAAATAAAAATTAAAGAACGAGAAGTCTGAGTCAGCGGTTCATAATTTGAGCGAGCATAGCGCTTTCGCGGCTACCAAGACCGAGAGAGTTGGCTTATGAGACACCACAAGAAGCTGCAAGACACGACATCCAGAGCTACATGGCGGCAAGGTTATGTGCGTAAGCGTGCTATTGATCCATTTGTCCTAGCTTGAGCAGGTAATCTTAATGTGGAAGCAATGTTGGGACGCAACCTCTAATAATGACATCATTATCTCATTCGAACTTTGCTTAGGAGTTCGGAAACCAAATGTTATTAAGCCATTCAAACACTTTTGGACATATGAAAACTACAAGAGCTTCAAACCTAGATACACAACAATCACTGAAAATCCCTGCAGTAAAACTTACAAGAAGGTCGTCAGTTCTACGTCAGAACGGCGCTTCGCTACCGCGCGACCACCACTATTCGCGCGTAGGCTGAGTCTACAGCGAGGACGTCCGCCCCTACGCGGATTCCAACCAGTAACCTTATGATTGCTAGCAGGCGTGCAGACCACTCGGCCACCGGCCGATCAATCCTGGACGAGATGGATTCAAGCCATGTGTGGTCATTACTGAAAGTATTCAACGCGTTGAATGATTTACTACAGAGAGTCACCGCCTCACTTGTGCAACAGTAAATATGTTTGTTCTTTCGTTTACTGTTCCTCGAAGTGTGACCTATGGGTATCAGAACAGCCGCCCCTATTTGATCAGCTTGGATGACATAAATTCTGCACTGAATTAAACGACCGTTACGTGATAAAAGACCAGTATTTCATTGGAGCATGTCATTACATCTTCGTTCTAATATTGAATTAGTGCAAAGATGATATGA